TGCTGATGTATGTCGGACTTCGACACGTAATGTTATGTTATATTATTGAACTCTACATATATGTTAAATTGCACGTCATCGTTATGTACCATTAGTAACGTTTGCTATATTTAAATAGCCTGTACTCTTGTTGTACATAATTAATCTCATGATTTTATTACTATTTCATAATTTTGCAAGTTATCTTTTGTTTTACATTACTATTTTTTGAATTGTTCTAACACGAAACACTATATTTTTCAGAGATGGCACGTCAGGATACACCTCAGTTGTTGGACCCAGCGATAGATCACCGACACCGGTCTCACCTTACTGCAGTGTAGGGGGCTCAGCTTGGGACGTTCCGGGCACGGACGTGCGGTGAGCTACTCACGGTTCACGACTCCTTTGTCGAGAGGTACGAACAGTGTTTTACTATAAGTTAGTTGCACGCGGTCGACAAGGGACTCGTGCACTACGCCAGGAGCATCGCCGACGCCGCGGTAGGCGAGGTGCCTCAGTGGAGCTGGGGTTCCACGTTGTTGGCGGCTCTGTACCGTGCACTTTGTGAGTCTTGCACGAAGACAGATCCCAGCGTGACCTTTGGTGGGTGCCCTCTCTTTCTTTCTATCTGGGCAGCTGAGAGGATTGCGATCGGCCGCCCTGAGGTGGACCAGCACGCGTACGAGGAGTCACTGTACGAGGAGCGACCAGAGGTCGACTACCCTACGATGGGTACTCTGTGGTGCCGTCGTCAGGTACGTTGCATCGATCTTATCGTATTGTTAAGTTAATTGCTAAGTTCATTGTACATCACATCGATCGTCTCGTATTGCAGCGCCGATGGGCTTACGTCCAGGTTAGGCGGTCGTATCCTGAGTTTGTTATGGAGTTCGACCGCCTTCTGCCGACTGACGTCGTGTGGGAGCCCTACAGTGCAGCGGCTACCCAGGCTCGTGCGCCGTTGGGTCTGTCCACACTCTGCACTAGGGACCAGGCGTACTGGATGACTACGGTTCCGATGGTCTTCGACATCTGCGTTGAGCCTCACGCCCATTTCCGCGTGATGCGGCAGTTCGGCTTCCGTCAGCCCTTTCCAGTACCGTTTCCGACCACCGTCCCAGCTGCTGTTCACCGGTAAGATCTTGCACTACGCTTTCCGTTGTTGCATTAAAATCTGCCTGTTCACAATAATTTGTAACATCTGTCGTTTCACACTAATATTACACATTAATTCGCAGGTACTCGCGCAAGGGTCAGCACTCAGCTGGCGACTGGCCCGCCAAGTTGGCGACTTTTGTTGAGGACTGGTTGCTCGCAACCGAGGAGGTCGTGGACCACGAGGGAGAGCCACACACTGAGGAGTCGTACCAGGCCTACCTACGCTGGTACCAGCCACGCACCCGTACTAGGGTCACCTTCGCTCCCTTGGAGCAGCAGCCCCACGTTGCGAGCACTAGAGACCTCTATGCCAGGCACCGCGACCAGGACTTCGCTCGTGCTGTGAGTACCCTGCATCGCACCATTCCTTTATGTTTTCATGTCTTTCTCTTCATCAAATTTTACGAATATTTACGAACAAATTAACCATGCAGGTCGACGACATCAACCGGGTCGTCGTTGACGGTTCAACGACGATCCAACGTTTAGGCGCGGGGATTCCGGTACCCGTAGAGGAGCACCTGACGACGTACACGCGGATGGTGGAGTCGATGCGCTCGATTCTCCGAGTGCTCACTTGTCGTGCAGACGACGTTGCTCGGGCAGACGCAGCTGTACAGCGGCCACCCGTACCGACTGGTCCCCGTCCAGCTGCGCACGTTCCTAGGCCGACTCCCCCTCCGCACGGAGGTAAGTATTTTTATTACTATTTCTATACATGCCTCGCACATATAAGTGAGCCGTTTCACTTGCCGATTGCTTCAGGGTTTCGTGCACCGTTCAGCACCCCGCCTTCCTCGGCTAGGCCTTCTGTTGTGCCCCCCACAGGTACTTAAAAAAACAACATTACTTCGACAATCAATTTACATACATTTTATGTCTTAGCTTACAAGGGTCCTGTTGTCGATGTGTAGGTTTCGCCCAGTTCGCTATAACGCAGGCCGCCCACTTCTCCCAGGCTGCAGGGTCAGCGTCTCAGGTAGCTGTGTCGACCTCGCACTCAGCGCAGTTCTGGCAGTACACCGGGACTTCGTCACAGGCAGCCGGCACGTCGAGTCAGGGTCCACCACTGGACCATGCTGGGACCTCGTCGGACCGCTTGCTGCCTTGCACCTTGCTCTTCGACATCACTGACTTCGACTTCGCTTCAGGCTCGACAGAGGACGTCATTGGCCCCTCACAGCTGGGAGGCGCACCGCCGGTGCAGACGCAGGACCAGGCGCAGGCCACTCCTCCGCGGGACACTCGTGCTACCCGTGCTGTGCCACCGGATCGTTTCACCTACTCCCAGGACCACGTGCGAGCACAGGCCCGGAGGACCAAGCGTGGTCGCGGCGCGGGGCAGGGCCAGTAGAGCAGTCTTCTCTTTGTTTACTTGCTTCACTTTCCAGTACTGTATGCTTGTGTAATGACTACGTTGTTGTTATATGTGCACGATACCTTTCGGCGCATGCACGATACCTTTCGGCGCATGCATGACTACTTTCTGCCGCACCGATGCAGCCTCCTTTATTCGCGTGTGATACGAGTATTTGCCCGCCATTTGGCGCATACGACCAATGTAACTTTCAGCGCCGATCATGCATGTATCTTTCGGCACCAATCAGGCGTACCCACCATACCCCACCACGTTCACATGTCAGGGGTATCACTCGATTTTTTGCGCCTATATAAGTCGCCTTAACGAGTGAGGCCTCACAATCTTTCAGAACTCAGTCACATTCAGTACTCTCTTCCCCACTTGCTTTATTACAAATCCGACCGGCTTTCGTCAATGGCTAGACGCCGGGGTGTTGAGGATCCAAACTGGCGTAGCGATCCTTGTGTATACCTACTACCACCTTGGTGCCAGCGTCCTCTCTGCCTATGCGGTGATCGATGCCAACTAATGGCTTCGAGGAATCCTGATATTCGAGAAAGGCGCTTTTTTAGGTGCCCTAACTATGACCGTGAGGTATTTTATTATCTGCATATGCTTATTCATTCCGTATGGGCAATCGCTTTATTCTTCGTAACACTACTCTATTCGGCAGACCCGCACTACGGCTTGCGCATATATCGAGTGGGTCGATACAGAAAATCCCGTTCTCGACCTAACCACTTGTTTACAAGAAGGTCGCTGGTATTTCGCATCCGAAAGTACTGAGCAATACTTACAGAGAAAAGCGGCTTATGAACGACAATGTCGTGAACAACAGAGCGACTGGCGGGTGCTAACTACGGCACTCCCTCCATGGGAAGCCCGTCCAAGATGCAGGTGTGGTGATCGTTGTCAGGTTCTTCGTTCCATAAATACTACAACATTAGGTCGAAGGTTCTTTGTTTGTCCAAATATTCTTGACGACGATTTCATGGTAAGAATATTTTGATTACATGAATCCTTATTTTCTCACAACATTTACTAACTTTGCTTGCTTTACATCTATTCTTTCCTCCCAGGAACCACCAAGGAGATGTCAATACAGAGAATGGATAGACACCAGAAGGGTTCTAACTCCACCTAGCCGTGTTGTGTAGCTTGAACTACCAGAGCAATACAGGGTTACTAAAGCGCGGTTTGAGAGAGGAGAGGGATCCTCACGTAGGGGTTAGCTATTATCGAACAACTTGGCATATTGAAATTTCTACTGTCATGCTTCCTTGTCCCATTACTACATCGTCGTTGTGTTCAACTATTGCACTACCTCCCTCCTAGTTCGAATCTAATATCATCTATGTAATCGCAATGCAAATAGTCGTATCATGTTCAAATTGTACTACTATTTCTTCATGTTACATAATTCTCCTTGTTTAAGTCCATATAATGTTTCAACGACCCAGACTGCGATAGGCCTATATAAATTATCCGAGTACTAATACGTCGAATAAGGTACAAAATAATACCTCACTTAACATATGAAATTGCGCAACAACCAACTTCAATACATTTTTATAACAATATTAACAAGTTTTATCAATAAATACTTCTTTATTTATTATTAACATAACATAGAAAAATCTTTTGGCCGTACTTTTTTCATCTGGGTCCCTTGCCGCCCTCTATTGGGGCGGCAAGGGACCCAGATGAAAAAGTACGGCCGCAAGCTCTTTATGGGCGGCCAAAATTGCAATTAGCCGGGCCTAATCGCAATTTTGGCCGACGGCGGCAGACAGTGCGGTCGACCCACCGTCTGCCACGTCAGCTTGCCGCCCACCATTAGAGCGGCAGGGGCTATTTCTGCAATTTTTTTGGTCGATAGATTATTTCTGTAAATATTTAAAAAAATCTAAAAACGAAAAAAAATCCTGCTTTGAGTGGGGAGCTTTCTTCAGCAGTAGCTAATTTATACTCCCTCCGTTTCAAAATGTTTGACACCGTTAACTTTTTAGTACGTGTTTAACCATTCATCTTATTTAAAAAATTTAAGTAATTATTTATTATTTTCATATCATTTGATTCATTATTAAATATATACTTTCATGTACACATATAGTTTTACATATTTCACAAATTTTTTTAATAAGAGGAACAGTCAAACATGTGCTAAAAAGTCAATGGTATCAAATATTTTGAAACGGAGGGAGTAATTTGCATGCAACTTCATGTTGGAGCATCCGTTTGGTACTTAGAAATCGACATCATAAAACTTATGTCGAATAATAAAAAAATTTCCCACATTGATTTGAATGAGTTCAATCATTACATGGTTCACCAACACACCGGGGAAAGAGATTCAGGCCATGTTTGGCAAAGGCACAACTATAGATCCTAAATCCACGCTGCAAATTAAATTAGAGTGGTTTAAAATTTTATAATTTATTTTGAATTAAAATAAATAATTCATTCAAATATTACCAACGTAATCACAGATCCAGATATATCAATTTAAGCTATGGCAAACATAGCCTTAGCAGATACTCCCTCCGTCCCTAAATATTTGACGTCGTTACTTTTTTAAACATGTTTGACCGTTCGCCTTATTTAAAAACTTTTGTGAATATTATTCAACTTAAGTAAGTAGTAGTAGTATATTTAACAATTAATGAATCAAATGATAGGAAGAGAATTAATAATTACTTAAATTTTTTAAATAAGATAAACGGTCAAACGTGTTTAAAATAGTCAACAACGTTAAATATTTAGGGACGAAGGGAGTATGAGATTTGAACAACATCAGAGAACAACACCATCTGCGCTGTCAGTACCACCGTATTCACAACTTGAAGATAAGGTGAATAATGCTACAGGCAAGGGATGTAGGAGATCGACCACACGGCAACACAGACCAGCCGAGACGGGAACGACGGTGTAGATCGCGGCCTCGGCACACAGGCAAACACGTACGAATCATGGTAGCAGCTTCGCTGGAGACATAAATCGAGGCCGGTAGAACGCCGGAGAGGCAAACACAAGGATGGCGCGACGCCGGAGACGCGGACGTGCATGGCGGCGGTAGAGCAGGTGGCGCCGTGGCGGCAGGGAGCCGATCGAGCAGCCGGTGGTGGCGAGTTGAAAAGAAAGTTTTCCCCTGCTATTTCCCCTGTTAACCAAGCACCATCCGGATGACATGGGGGTTTAACACCCAACGTGGAAGGGGATTGGGTGGTGGGAGGGGATCCACCCAATCCCGGACTGGTGGTGTTTCCCCCAGGGAAATCCCTCCCCACGTGCCGAACGACGCCTGAGGAGGTTGTCCGGCAACGTGTAGTTCATGCACCCACACAGCATGTACATGTAGAACACCGTCGTCGTCACCACGCTCAGCCTCGTCGCGCTCTTCATCACCTTTGCCTCCGACGGTGGCGGCGCCTTGATTCGTGTCCTGAACAACAAAACAAAACAAGCAGCGGTGAGCAAACCTTGCTCAGAGAAAAAAAAAACAGAGCAAATTAACTTTGTAGCTAATGGTGTCAGTCTCACTCACTTGGATCTCGATGAGGATGTTGGAGAAGGAGTAGGCGAAGGCGATGTCACCGAATGCCTGCAAGCTGCGCCACACCTTCTGCGTTGAGCTGACACCGACGCCGATGCTGATGCCGGTGAGGCTGCCATGGATCCCGCCATTGGCTGCAAATTCAGAGCTCATCACGGTAAGCAAAGACAAATTAAAGAACCAGATTATCTGTATGTGACAGAAGAATTAATGGACGTTACTCGAGCTGCGGCACGGGTCGCCATGGCTGTTGTGGTGTAAGGGTTACTCGCGCTCGTCCGCCGTCGTGCTCGTCCGCTCTAATCGCCGCCGTGCTCGGCCGCTCGCCTGTAGGCCGCACTCAGCTGCCGCCGCCCGCCGTCGCTCGGCTGCCGTGCCTCAGTGCTCGCACGCTGCCCGCCCATCGCTGAGATAAAGAGAAGAGAAGGAAAGGAAAAGAAAGAAAATGTGCAACTGACATATGGGCCCCACGTACTTTTTTAATTTTTTTTGCTGACTAGGATGCCACGTCAGCGAAACCACCCACATATACTGTTATGGGACCTCCTTTGAACGGTTTGTGTGAGTTGAGGGGTACACATTTCTGGTCTTTCTGGTCAGGGGTGGGCATTCGGTCTAACCGAGAAATTCGGTTCGGTCTTTCGGTCTTTTTAAAATTTCGGTCATCAAAAACTCAAGACCGATCGGTCCAAAAAAAAATGAAGACCGAGCACTTCGGTAGTTCGGTTCGGTCTCGGTCATGACCGAACTAACCCGAGAGCAGAAGTCTCTGAACAAAAAAATCACAAAAGCCAAACAACAAATGTATGGTTGACAAATCAAAAGGCAACTCAATAGATAGATGATGCATCTGCTGATCTGCACATGCAACTAGGAAATCAAGCAGATTCAGAAAGACAAACTGAAAAGCAAATCGAGCTAGGCGGTGAAGGACGGCGCCGGCGCGGTGGAGGTGGAGACGGCGCGAGGGAGGCGGAGGGCGGGCGGAGGCGACGCCGACGCGGTGGGCCGAGGGCGGCGCCGGCGCCGACGCAGTGGGCCGAGGGCGGATGGAGGCGGCGCCGGCCGCCGGCGCGGTGGAGGCGGAGGCGGCGCAGGCGCGGTGGAGGCGAAGGCGGGCGGCGCGAGCGGGAGGAGTGGGGAGTGCGGCTGTGAGGGTGAGGGAACCGAGCCAAGTGGGAGGCTGGGGGTAGGGTTGGTGATCTAGGGTTTATTTTAGTGGGCTTAGTACTGGCCTACTGGGCCTCCTAGTCTATTGGGCCAGTTCGGTTATTTTGGGTATTTCGGTTAATCGAGCCCAATAACTGAAATACCCGAAATAAATTCGGTCTTTTGATGTTAGGGACCGAACAACTACCCGAATTTTTCAGTCTCGGTCTCGGTCTTTTCGGTTCGGTTCTTTGGTTCGGTCTAATTTTGCCCACCCCTATTTCTGGTTTTGTGGTTAAAGGATCTTAAAAAATCTCGCTGTTAAGTTGAGGGACCTCCGGTGAACTTATTCCAAAGAAAAAAAAAGGTCCACTTTACGTTCGTCCAATTGTAGGCCGAGTTTAAGGAATAAGTCTATATTGTCTCCCTCCTGTCTTACCCTCGATCGAATTGCATCCCTCAATCGGGTAACGCCTCTCCCAACTACAAAAACCGACTCAAATCAATTTGGTTGAGAATCGGTTTGGGCTGACATGGCAGGTAGACCGTGGTTAGATTCGCTGAGTCGGCGCATGGGTCCCATATGTAGGTGAAATGCAGCAAAACATGGGCAGTGGGTCCTACATATGGGTTGCATATACCTCTCTTCCTAGGTAGCAGCAGAGGCGAATTGCTGGGAGCTGGGTCGCTGAGTTTTCGGGTGCCGGAACGGTCGGTCAGGGTGGAGGTGGGGTGGAGGCAGAGGCGACGCAAATGGCCATCGAGCTGATCAGCAAGGACGATGTTGCACTTGAGGTCGATGAGCGTGGCGAACACCTCCGACAGGCGAGCCCCCTCAAGTGAAACATCGTGGCGTCAGAGGTATGGACGCACGACGTGCGCATGGCGGCGGCGCTGGTGCACGTCACGGACGTCGACACGCTCGCAGCCATGCATGCATCGATCGATAACCAGGGTCGCCTGCTGCTGTACGTGCCACCTCCTGGGCAGCGGGAGCGCGGCGGCGGCGGCACGCGCGCGCCGCCATCCCGCCGCGCACGCCACACGCCGTCCCCACCACATAACGCACGACGATTCCGGCGCCCCCGAGTCCTTCTCCGCCACGACAACGACGGCCACCCCGTCGTGGAGGTCGTAGACTGCGCGCGCCGAGCGCGGCTACGTACACGCTCGTGAACGTGCGGCCCCGACCGGCCGAAGCTGTTGTTCGACAGTGGACACCGTGTGCACGATGCACCCTCACCGACATGCAGTACGTCGTCTTCCATGGTACCGTACGTCATCGCCGAGGGTTTCAGTGCTCACATTTGATTAGTAGTTTCAGGAACTGCTATATATCTCTAAACATATATATCGTGGTAGCAGCCTATCAAAAACTTAATATAGCACCTCAGGCAAACCTAGCATCTCTGTAGAAAGCAACTTAATAATTGTCATGGTTGATAAATTTAGTGTGATTTACTGATTCGGGAGCTAATATGATCCGTATCGATTTTGCTAGATCTTTGTCAACAGATTTTCACCCCCAATATTTGTCGTTTTTCTATCCGTAGGATTTGCGCCATGATTCGTGCATTTCCCTGTGTGGATGAGACCGTGTGGCCTGTGAGCAGATGGCCTGGGAGTCAATGTGGGCCAACCCATGTTAAATTTTGGATTCCGCGCTATTATGTCCGTAACCGTTGGTTGTTTCCTCGCTCTCTTTCTTTATTCTCGCTCTTTCTCTACATCTCTTTCTCCTCTTTCTTTTCTCTTCTCGTTTTCTCCGTCGAGAGAGAGAGAGAGCTCGCCGGCGAGAGAGAGCACGAGCAGCTCCCCGGCGGGAGAGAGAGAGCGCGCGCGCTCGCTAGGGGAGACAACTCGAGAGAGAGTGTTTTTTGAGTTTCTTCCCTGATTTGCTGGCATCATTAGCTTGTGTTTTGGTTTTTTCAATGTCAATAGGGCTAGGTTTAGAAGATTCGGGTCAATACATGACGATTTTTTTTGCTCCCAACGTATGGATCTGATTCAGAATCACTTGTTTTAGTTTTGGAATCCGTTTAGGTTTTGGATTCCCTAAGTTTTTAGTTATAGTTTGATTCAGTTCAGTCTAGGGTGTTTTGTTACTAGTCCATTGTTTGCAAACGACCAGATTCGATGGTGTTCTATGTTTTTTTTTCTAATCCACGAGGGTTTTTGTATTTTTGGTTCGATTTTTCTTCAGGGGTGTTCATGTTGGGGGTTGGATTCAGGGGTATTTGATGGAGTTAAAGGTTTAATTCGAGGTGGATTTAGGGGTTTTTTCTAATCACCCAGATAGTTGATCATTTTTTGGATCCCTGCATGAATTTTCTTCAGGGAGGGGGTCAGATTCATGAGTTGATTATTTTTGCTTTGATTTATGTGTGATTTGAATATAGTAGGGAAGCATCATTGCAACTTTATCTGAATGTTGCATTTCACTTTCAGTGATTAGTTGACTGATCTGTTAAACTCCTTGCATGAGTCTGAATTTTTCTGCATGTGAAGCATTTCGTTTCAGAGATGATTTATCTGTCAACTCCCTGCATATATCTGAATTCTTATGCATCTGAAGAATTTCGTTTTACATATGCATGCTAACTGAACCCCAAGTATGTTTTGTGTTGCCTTCTGCAGCATATGAATCATTTCGTTTCAGAGATGTACGGTTTGATTTCCCAGTATGCTGAGTTGCTTGGTTAAATTAAACCCAAACCCCTACATGCGTTCTGCTTTCTTCAGATTGTATTCTACTGTACTATTTGGTTTATAAAATTCCTGTACATGTTCTGAACTTTTCAGTGCTGATCTAAATGAGTTAGCAGCAAGCCAATACCTGAACTTGGTCCCTGTTGCTTTGAGAAATTATGGGCTATTGGTTGCATCTGCTCTTTCTTCTCTTCTGAACTTTTGTTCATTGTCAATCGCTCGTAAATCGTAAATCTGTTTGAATTGGCGCTATTTCTGAACTTGGGAACATAATTGGCACTATTTCTGAATTGGGAACAGGGGATAGCACGCTCGTAAATCTATTTGAATTGTCAGTATTTTTTGAATCTTGGAGCAGGCTATTGCACAGTTTCAGTCGACATGAGCTTTTTAAAATCTCATACTTCAGCAAACTGAAAAATAATTTGGAGGGTTTCAGTCTAATGTTGATCTAATGCATTTCAATGGTAGCAAAACCAAGGTCACTTGGGTGCCTGGAGGTATTCACATGCCTGAAATATCTGTATGATTTTTTTTCTTCTTTATTCTGAATGACCCATCGTCCCATCCCAATATTGTTCCCATGTTAATTATGTGTGGAGCTTGTTAGTCAGTTAACTCATTTGCTGTGAAATTTAATCGGGAGGCTCAACAACAACACCCTGTCTGGTCCATTCCCTTCTGCATCAGCTAACTTGTCACATCTTGTTGTCGAGTGATTTTAATATATGTGCACGGAAGTTTGAGATATGTGCAAATTATGTACAAAATTTAATATATGGGCAAATTTGTACACAACTGGAGATATGACCGTTTGGACCACAATGCTCTGTTTTTTTTATCCTAGGCTCTAATCTAATTGTTGTGCTTTGTTAAACACCACTGTCTGAAGATGATTTTCACTTGAGGAAAATCTTCAGTCCATTGTGACAAAGTGACTCCTTTTCTGAAGAAATTCTTTATTTTTTGAAGAAATTCAAGCATGCTTGCAGTTTTAGCCCAGTTACAGTCTATATGTATTGTAGTTACATATGTAACTTTTGTTATTTCTCACTGTAACTAACTATAGATATATAGTCCTTGAAAATTTATCAACGCTACAATCTCTAATTTGTTGTATATAATTTTATGCTAGATTATATTGTCTGCCAAGATCATTTTATGGTGCATAATGCTAGGTGAGCATGATAACTGACCTTTCAATGTTTTCTTGCTTCTTATTTCTCTGGACAAAATTTTGTCACTTTCATATCTCTCCGATTGCATATCCCCTGATTTTTCAGACTGTAACCCATCAGACCCTGCATGTTTATATTATTTGTAACATAATTTAGAACTTGTTATAATAGGGGAAAATATTTAATGCTGCTGCATGAGTACTGAATTTTTTTGAAGAAATTCAAGCATGAAAGCTGTTATAGCCTAGTTACAGTTCAGATGTAATGTAGTTACATATGTAACTTTTCTTATTTCTCACTGTAACTGACTATAGATAGATAGGTCTTTAGATTTTTCAAAGCCGCCATCTCTAATATATGTGCTAGATTAAATTGTCTGTCAAGGTCAAATATGGACCATAATGCTAGGTTATCATGATTATGACCTTTAGTTGTCTTCTTGCTTCTTTTTTCATCAGACGAAATTAATGTTATCTCTTTCAGATCTCTCTGATTATGTATCCACTGTTACTTGAGATCGAATTGTAACAGAACCTGCATAGATAGGTTATTTGTAATATAATTTAGATAATGTATATTAGACAAATTTTTTTTGAAGAAATTCAAGCATGATTGTAGTTACATCCCAGTTACAGTCAATATGTACTGTAGTTACATATGTAACTTCTGTTACTTCTCACTGTAACTGGAGATAGATAGTTTTTCAAAAAAAAAATCATGCTTTCATGTATACAAAATTGTGCTAGATTTTATGACTGACAAGATCAAATTTGGTGCATAATGCTATCTGTCCATTGTTCTGACCTTCAAGTGTCTTCTTGCTTATTAATTTTTCTGAGAAAATTTTGTCACTTTGACATCTATTTGACTCTGTATTCACTGTTGCTTGAGCTTCTAATCTATCAGGCGTTGCATGTTTCAATCATTTGTAGTACAATTTAGAACAAGTCATAATAGTAAAAAAATGTTAATGCTGTTGCATGAGTACTGAATTTTTTGAAGAAATTCAAGCATGATTGCATTTAAAGCCCAGTTACAGTCAATATGTACTCTAGTTACATATGTAATTTCTGTTATTTCTCACTGTAACTGGATATAGATATATAGTTCTTTAAAAATTTATCATGCTACTATCTCTAATTTGTTGTATATAAATTTTTGCTAGATGACATTTTCTGACAAGATAAAAAATGGTCCATAATGCTAGGTGAGAATGATTCTCACCTTTAACTGTCTTCTTGCTTCTCATTTCTTCAGACACAATTTTGCTTCTCATTTCATATCCATCTAATTGTGTATCTCCTGATTTTTGAGATTGCAATATACCTGACCCTACATGATTAGGTTATTTGTAATATAATTTAGAACATTTTGTCATAGGCAAAAAAAAAGTTAGTGCATGAGTACTGAATTTTTTTTAAAAAAAAATCAAAGGATGATTCCAGTTATAACCCAGTTACTGTTCAAATGTACTGTAGTTACATCTGTAACTTTTGTTATTTCTCACTGTAACTGACCGTAGATAAATAGTTCTTTATATATTTGTAACATAATTTAGAGCTTGTTATACTAGGGGAAAGTGTTTTAATGTTGCTGCATGAATACTGAATTTTTAAAGAAATTTAAGAATGATTCCATTTACAACCCAGTTACAGTTAGATGTACAGTAGTTACATCTGTAACTTTTGTTATTTCTCACTGTAACTGACTATAGATAGATAGCTCTTTATATATTTGTAACATAATTTAGAGTTTGTTATAATTGGGGAAATGTTTTAATGTCGCAGTATAAGTACTGAATTTTTTAAGAAATTTAAGAATGATTCCATTTACAGCCCAGTTACAGTTTAGATGTACTATAGTTATATATGTAACTTTTGTTATTTGTAACTGTAACTGACTATAGATTGATAGTTTTTGTTACGAGTTTTTCTGAAAAAGTTACATACTTTTAACTACTTGATCTAAAGAAATTTCCTATTCCAAGCACTTTTCTCCAAAAGAAATTCACTATTCCAAGTGCTTTTCTCCAATATTTTTACAGAACTGAGTTGTTTTTGTTTGATTTAAAAGATGACTGGCAGAATATGGTGAAGTCAATGGGGAAAGGTAAAGGTGGATTTTGTGCTAGGTAATTTGTTACCTGGAAGATTATGTCTTGTTGATTTCAACTTCTTGACCTCAATGTTCTTGGTAAGAATTTGCTTCTTCTTCTTTTTCTCGTTCTCCTCACTGTCTATGGCGTGCTCGATTTGTTTTGCTCGATCTAGGGGATTTGTGCGAACTGGTGTGGTCTCCCTGTGTTATTTTGTTTTTTTCTAACCTTTATTGGATGTGAAGTTATCATTATGGGCCATGATGTATTTGCAGTTATGGCCTGTATAATTTTTTGTATTGTTCTATGGGCTAGAATTCGAGCCCATGTAGTTTTGTGATCTGACTAGTCAGAGAAAAAAATATGTAGCATTTTTTGTGTCCTCTGGATCTTAATCTAACGGTATGAAAAAATCTGGGTGATTTTGACCCAAGGATTTGTCGACAAAGACATAGCTAGTTCCGATCCGTATACCCCTAAAAAAATCACACAACATGAACTATTCAGTGAATTGATAGTTTGACAGGCATGGAAGTGAAGCCTTGAACAGATCAATAGAACACATCACAGCAAAATCATCCATACACTTCGAGCGGGATTAACCAACATAGAGACAGTAAGGGCTGGATCATACCGTGCTTGTAGATGGGATACTCACCATGCCTGGTTGCTGTAACCCGTCGAGAAGCATGGTGAGGAGGAGGTCACCATGGAATGTGGTGTTAGTGCCGGCGGCGGGACCTCCAATGATGCCGGCGCAAACATCCTTTTGGACTGCCGCCTCATCTTGATGTGATTCGAGGACGAATTTGGGGTCTAGGGTTTGAGAGGAGGCGATTTGGGGACGAATTTGGTGGCATGGGAGTGGATTTGGGAGGGTTACATGACGGATTGGAGCGGGAGGACTCGATTTTAGCGGGAGGGAGGGGGATTTGGCGCGTGGAGGAAGAGAGGTTGGGGGCGGCGGCAGAGACGCACGGGATCAAGGGGAGGAACGAAGCGGCGGCTTAGCGCCTGGAAGCCCGCTCCGTTCTCTCTCTTCTCTTCTCACTCCGCCACCTAGGATTTTGATGACGTGGGAAACGGTTCCGCCTGCTGACTAGGACTTACTATACTTGCTCTTAGAGACACAAAGCTTGCTGCTGGTACTGCTAGTGTACGTGAGCTCGAACGAACACGAGCTGCACTGCATGTGTACGCTCGTTTTGGTGTTGTCAGGTGTCAGTCGCATGCAGAAAGAGAAAACGCACGCATGTTGATACACCGTCATCGTCGTCTTGCCAAGTCGAAGACAACCCCCGTCACCTCCGGCAACGAACGCACGTACGAGCACCTCCGTCCCTGCGTCGAAGCCGCGCCAACCAACGCCGCAATACCGAGGTAGTACAATACATGAAACGGAACATATGCGTCCTCCGGCCTCTCCCGCCTCCGCTGCTCGTGCTTGCCTGCGTGTGGAGACCGGAGAGAGAGCAAGAGACGGGAGAGGGAGAGGCGAGGAGCGAGAAAGGAATATAACTAACACGTGGGACCCATCCACTGACTCAGCAAGTCTAACCATGGTCAACTTGGCACGTTAGAAATAAACCGTTTTCCAAATCATTCAAGGAGTTGATTTACACATATTTTTAAAGTTGAGAGAAAGGTTATACCCGGTTTTGTGATTGAAGGGATGCGATTCGATAGAGATGAGAGTGATATAAAATAAACTTATTCCCAAGTTTAATTAAAATCAGGGTTATGCGAATCCTGTGAGTAGATAAAGGGTGATATGGGGCACGTGGCTGTGCATGTCGCCTGTCATGTACCCACGTCGCCCCAGAGAAAAAGTTGGGCAACGTGATGCACACTTAGCGCTCACTCCATGGACTCCCCTTCATCAGAATCGGTGGCTAGTGGGTGGGACCATTGATGACTAAAACAAAGACTTCCGTGCCCTGCTCCACATGTCAGACGGAAGGTGATCTCATCGCATCCGCTGGACTGCTTGGAGGAACATCTACAAGACCAAGCATACCAATTCCTATGTGCTGGGCCACACCCCAATATGTATGCATGGGTGCTATAGACTTCCCTTCACGTATAAAATGAGGGTCCATGTCAACGAGATAGAGGATCAACTCCCTTGAGTAGACTAAGTTAGATTCAACGACTCTTGAACTAAGTGAATAAGGGTTCATCCTCTCCGACTTAGCATATATCACCAATATCCATTGTAAACTTATCCATTCATGCACTGAGCAAAGACATAATAGTAGAGTATTACGTTTCTTAGCGATCCAAACCTATATAAACCATCCGCCTCCACTCTCTTTTGTACCTGTCCCGACCACAAGTTTAGAAATTGCACCCATGCCGAACTCTCAAGGGAGAGTATTTTGCCTTTCCGCTAGAGGAGTTTTGTGCTCCAACACCCAATATCACAAACTCTTCACGCTATCCCACGAAGTTCTCCACATAAATATAGCCTTCAAACCCCACTTTAAATTCAATGGTTTACAACTAGAATCACCACCAACCTGTATACAATTATTAGCGATCACGCCAAAACGATGACATGCAACAGTTAAGCCACATGATAATCACGTCATTAATGAGTAGCCAGCTCCGCCAATCAATTATGTGCCCATAGTATGAACGCAGAACCGCTAAAAACTTATTTTTTACCAAAAAGAAAAAAATACAATCCCTAATCTTATACCAAAAATTTAAACCCTTTGCTCATCCATACAGAATTTTCCGTACAATTACAGCCTTCAAACTATCTCATTAACTTGAAGGGCTATTGACATAGATCCATTCGTACCGCACGGATTAAGATCCTCTAACTTACTTTCCTCTAATACTCTAATAGAGGATCCTCTTCATGCCGCACGCAACAAGCACACATGGCACTGTAGCTAGCGGCTGGTTGCCCGACTTCGCCCAAATTCCGCAAAACTGTAGGGCTCTACATGCAAAATAGCCTGACAGCTAGACCCCACACCCACCGTCCGCCCACTGCTATACCTACCCCACCTCCCACCTCCACCCCACCGGAGATCACAGCGAGATGCCCCACCACCGCCACCTCACTCCGTCTCCCTCCCACGAGGAGCACGAGACCCCAAACCCCTCGCTAACCCCTCCTCCAATGCAGCTCGCCGCCCTCGCCTCCGACGAGCCCCCGCCGCCGCCGCCGGAGCAATCCCCCCGGCGGATCGTGGTCGCCCACAGGCTCCCCCTGAACGCGACGCCGGACCCCGGATCCCCCTTCGGCTTCGCCTTCTCCCTCAGCGCCGACGCCCACGCGCTCCAGCTCTCGCACGGCCTCGGCCTCGCCCACGTCGTCTTCGTCGGCACCCTCCCCGCGGAGGCCGCCCGCGCGCTGCGGCGCTCCGACGAGCTCGACCGCCACCTCCTCGGGTGCTTCTCCTGCCTCCCGGTGTTCCTCCCGCCGCGCGCCCACGACGAGTTCTACGCCGGGTTCTGCAAGCACTACCTGTGGCCGCGCCTCCACTACCTGCTCCCGCACGCGCCGGCGGCCAACGGCTACCTCCACTTCGACGCCGGGCTGTACCGCTCCTACGCGTCGGCGAACAGGAGCTTCGCCGCGCGCGTCGTCGAGGTGCTCTCCCCGGACGACGGCGACCTCGTGTTCGTCCACGACTACCACCTCTGGCTCCTCCCTTCCTTCCTCCGCCGCGGCTGCCCGCGCTGCCGCGTCGGGTTTTTCCTCCACTCGCCGTTCCCCTCCGCCGAGGTGTTCCGATCCATCCCCGTCCGGGAGGATCTCCTCCGCGCCCTCCTCAACGCCGATCTCGTCGGCTTCCACACCTACGACTACGCGCGTCACTTCCTCTCCGCGTGCTCTCGCCTCCTCGGCCTCGCCTACACCTCCCGGCACGGCCGCGTCGGCATCAACTACCATGGCAGGACGGTGCTGATCAAGTTCCTCTCCGTCGGCGTCGACATGGGCCTTCTCCGCACCGCCATGGCTTCGCCGGAGGCCGCCGCCAAGTTCAGGGAGATCACTGAGGTGGAGTACAAGGGCCGCGTACTCATGGTGGGCGTGGACGACGTCGATATCTTCAAGGGCGTGAGGCTGAAGCTCCTGGCCATGGAGAGTTTGCTCGAGACGTACCCGGCGTTGCGCGGCAGGGTGGTGCTCGTCCAGATCCACAACCCCACGCGCTGCGGCGGCCGCGACGTGGAGCGCGTCCGCGGCGAGACGGCCAAGATACAGGCGCGCATCAACGCGCGGTTCGGCGGTCCGGGGTACCAGCCGGTCGTCGTCGTCGACCGCGCCGTCCCCATGGCCGAGAAGGTGGCGTACTACGCCGCCGCCGAGTGCTGCGTCGTCAGCGCCGTCCGCGACGGGCTCAACCGCATCCCGTACTTCTACACGGTGTGCCGGGAGGAGGGCCCCGTCGACGCGAAGGGCGCCGCCGGCGGCCAGCCGCGGCACAGCGCCATCGTTCTCTCCGAGTTCGTCGGGTGCTCGCCGTCGCTGAGCGGCGCGATCCGCGTGAACCCCTGGAACATCGAGGCCATGGCGGAGGCCATGCACGGCGCGCTCACCATGAACGTCGCCGAGAAGCAGGCGAGGCACGTGAAGCACTACACGTACCTCAAGCTGCACGACGTGATCGTGTGGGCGAGGTCGTTCGCCGCCGACCTCCAGCTCGCGTGCAAGGACCGCTCCACGATGCGGACCATCGGCATGGGGATCGGGCCGAGCTACCGCGTCGTCGCCGTCGACGCCGCCTTCAAGAAGCTCCCGCCGGAGCTCGTCAACCTGTCATACCGCGCCGCCGCCGCCGCAGCCGCCGGCGGCGGCGGCGGCAGGCTGATCCTCCTCGACTACGACGGCACGCTGGAGCCCACCGGCGCGTTCGACAACGCGCCCAGCGACGCGGTGATCGTCATCCTCGACGAGCTTTGCTCCGACCCTAACAACGTCGTCTTCATCGTCAGCGGCCGGAGCAAGGACGACCTCGAACGCTGGCTCGCGCCATGCGCCAACCTCGGCATCGCCGCGGAGCACGGCTACTTCATTAGGTAATATATATCATCTCGTCACGTCGTGCAACCATCCATGCATCCGTGTGCATTAGAGAAAGAGGAAGACAAGACAACGTGTTGCATTGCATTGCACCAGGTGGAGCAGGGACGCGCCATGGGAGACCATGGCGAGCAAGCAGCTGGCGGCGGCCATGGAGTGGAAGGCGGCGGCCAAGAACGTGATGAGGCACTACGCGGAGGCGACGGACGGGTCGTACATCGAGGCGAAGGAGACGGGGATGGTGTGGCGCTACGAGGACGCCGACCCGAGGCTGGCGCCATTGCAGGCCAAGGAGCTCCTCGACCACCTCGCCACCGTGCTCGCCAGCGAGCCCGTCGCCGTGCGCAGCGGCTACAAGATCGTCGAGGTGATCCCTCAGGTACGTAACGATCACCAAACGGCAATGCCGGTGATCTTCCATCCGATCCGTCGGGCTCGTTCATCATCAATCACGTTCTTGATCAGGGCGTGAGCAAGGGCGTCGCGGCGGAGTGCATCGTGTCGGCCATGGCGGCGCGCCGCGGTGGCGCGCTGGGGTTCGTCCTGTGCGTCGGGGACGACCGCTCCGACGAGGACATGTTCGGGGCTCTCGCGAGCCTCTGCGGCGGCGGCAAGAACGGCGGTGCTTCGTCTTCCACCACCACCACCACCGCGCTCCTTGCGGCGGCGCAGGTGTTTGCGTGCACGGTGGGGAACAAGCCGAGCATGGCGAGCTACTACCTCAACGACAAGGAGGAGGTCGTCGACATGCTCCATGGCCTGGCCTTCTCGTCGCCGTCGTCCCGGCTCCGCGCCGCGGCGGCTCCCCGGCGGCCGGCGGATTTCGATATCAAGTCCCTCCTCCGGTGTGAGTAAGATTGATTGCTGCATCCATCGATCGGGGAAGAAGCTACCTTGCTTGCTGCGAAAATGGTAGCTTAAACTGCTTAGCAATTACCAGAAACAGTGAGAAAGATCAGAATAAACGTGCAATTTGCACCGGAGAAATCTTTAGAAATCAAAGATTTGTTGGACTTGGGACAGTGATGAGCTGTGCGTCAGAGGTTGCTTTTGCCTGTCAATTTTGTTTCGTTTTGCTTAACCTATGTTTAGATTACCTGTTGTTTTACCATATCATTGCCTGATGTGTTTGACGAAATATGTTGTTTTACCATACCTTTGACCTTTCCAAGACCATATTCCTGTTCAATATTTTAAGGAGAAGCAGATGCAGATGTTACTGTCAGCATTGCCTGCTGCGCGTCTGAACAGCTATGTTCATGGCAATCTGAAGATTTTAAGTGAACGTTACTGACAATGCAGGATGCAGATGTAGCAAAGGGGAGAAGAAACAACGACATATCTGACGAGACCTCGTTGCAATGATCAGAATGTCCAAACAATTCTACTGAAACCAACCTCTGGCATCCAGAATTGTTTTGTGTTACTCTTTGCAGAAGAGTTCACGCGGCCAAGATGTCATAGCCTTATCCGCAGAGCCAGTAGTCAACCGGTGGTCAGGTAGCTCAGTTGGTGAGAGTTGTGGGTGAAAACCAACCACTACCTCGACGCTTGACACTACTCGGAAAACTATTTTTTCTGGCAGCTAAAAGTAGTTTTTACATATGGACAAGTAAGCCGTCTGAAACTAAAGGAATGTAAAAATAATCATTTTCGGTAGGTTGCGTAGCCACCTATGAAAAAATTTTCCATTGGAAATCCATTTCACAGACGCCCGACTTTAACTAGCTGTTTGTAGAAAATCATTTTCGCATGTTTTTGGAAATCCTCTTCGTCTGAATTCAGATACCTGAATTGAGGTTCCTATTTCTTAGCCGGATTTATAAAATTGATAAAAATGATCAGTTTTCATGAAATTTTGAGGTTTCGAGCTAACTCATGTTGACAAACCGCTTGGTAAATCAGCAATGCTTTTTTTTTTACAAAAAAAACTCCAAACTTAGTTTCAAAACTTTTACCAAATTTGTTCAAATTTCAATGGTTTTCAATTGTTTTTGCGAACCGATAAAACTGCTCAAGAGCGGTTTCCGGTCAAGGCCTGCAACCAAGTTCTTTCTTTGTACTTGTTTTTTGATCAACTCGATTGCTTTGATACACCTCTAGAGATAAGTTTACAAGTTTTAAAATGGATGAGCTTATTATTGACCATAATAAATTGTTATGAGGCACCTTATTCATTACATATCTAATAGATTTGACTAAACACAATAAACAAGATATGTACAAACGGTTATGCGTTATTTCTATGGAAGGAAATACATCAAACCCTTCTTAAGATAGATAAACATTAAAATAAAGTAGTGAAGGAAATACGAAATATCAAAGTAAATTAAGAAAGATATTGTTCGTGGAAACGAGCGTTACAAATACAACCAAGCATATCGTAGTCATAAAACTCGAGATATAATGACTATAGAAAGAAACATATCAAAACATGCTTAAGATAGATGTCTAAGTTTGAAAATGTAACTTTATCATAAAAAACTAATGGTGTCTTATCAACTCGATATATCATATATATCACACAAAGTGTGTATCATATCATGGAGAACACACGTTTTTTTTGCTAGAAGTATACCATAGATGACGAGTGAGTAAAACGCACCCATAACACGGAGAACATTCATATTTCTTCGGTTGAACCCAATTGCCAACCACGTCACGCATTTACCTCCTCGAAAACCGCTACTTCTAACTTCTAAGTCACATTTTAGCTAGTTTCCCATGGATGTATATACCTAGCAAGCGGCAGAACAACTGGTAGCAGCGTACATCCAAAAGAGCCAAGTAGACTTGGCCGGACTGCTGCTCACTCTTGTCCTATTCATCTAGGATAAACATGTGCAGGTAGCAATTGCTAGGGAGGTAGGAGTATGCATTTTAAGCATGTGCGTCGCCGTTTCGTGGCATTTGGCAACGTGTGTGAGGAGACGATTTTGATGACATGTAACACATAGCCATGCATGGATGCAAGCAACGTTGGCAGTTTCAGTTAGATGTAGATGGGTATTCTAAATTTTAGAGGGGATGTAATTTAACTAACTGCAATTTAATTTGTCTTTTTTAATTTGTAAAAGTTAAATTTTAACTTTGTCGAGGAGTGAACCTCTCTAGCGGGAGATCGTGAGATCCCCTTTTGTGAGTTCGGTCGGGGGAAAGGGCTCGCATCTAGAGATCGTGTATCCGCCCTCAACGTTACTAGTTGCGCGTAGACGAGAGGATTATATAGGTTCGGGCTGCTATGGAGCGTAATACTCTACTCCTGTGTGTGGGATTATGGTTGAATCACAAGGGTCCCTAAGCTCCGGAGAACGTTCTCGCTTCTTTTTCCCTAGAGCTTAGGTCTGCTTGGAATCATCCTTTTTCTCGGTGGGTAAGGTCCTCCTTTCATAGCTCAAGGGGATACCACATGCACCGCCTCTATCTACTCTTCTACCGGGTGGGGACCCACCCTACCTTGACCGGATCTTGATCCGTGCCTTCGCTTGAAAGCTAAGCCGCAGCTCGTCCTTGAGTGGGACCCAGCGCCGTCCCCCGCCTGACACAGGGGAGGGACGGGTCATACCTACCTCCACTCCGCCGGGGACAGAGGTGACGTGGGGGCATGGTCGCCCGTCCAGTCAGATGCGACCGGCGACAGGCCGGTCACAGACCGGTCATTTCTGACTGACGCGCGTCAGTCGGGCGGCACCGCACGTCTGCCCCTACCGCATTTAATGCGGCGAGGGGCAGTTGGGGCGCCGCACGCATTGATAGCGGTACAACATGGGTCCCTTCTCCGCTTGCTCCCCCCTCCACATGGCAGCCGGGCGGGGGACTCGGGGCAAAACGGCGCGAGGGCTCGAGGGGCATGACGTGGCACCCCGAGGTCCCCTGGCTGCTTCTGCGATTCGCGAGGTGTGGGGGTAGGGCCAAGCTGTAGGACCACGTGGCAGGATGGGAAGGTAAATTCCCCTCACTCCGCATACCCTCAGGCCCATACCTCGGACAAACTTGTATATTTGCTAAGTGATATATCACATGTTAATATATCTTTTATTTTTTAAAAAAAAATTATAACTATTTAAGTGGCATTAAACAATGAGGGTCGTTACATAGACTCATAGAAAAGGAGGAAGTCGTCGATCGAAATTTTCGATATCATCCATGGCCTGGCCCTTCTCGTCGCTGCCGTCCCAGCTCCTCTGCATCCATCGATCGGAAGGAGCTACCTTGCCTGCTCAAAAAATGTTTGCTTAAACTAACTGCTTAGTATCAGAAACAGTAAGAAAGATCAGAATTGTGCACTAATTTGCACCTGAGAAATCAAACAGAGAACAGGGAGCTGTGATGAATAATGTGTGCGTGCATAGTACAAGGGATTATCCAAAGTGGCAGAGTAATCAGACGTACGTACATTGTCTTGCTTGTCAATATTTGTTTTGTTTGCTTAATCCATGCATGTTCGATTACTGGGATTGGTATCCTTCATCAGGCGATTGATTTTCTAAGTTAACTCTCAGTCGATGTTGTGAACCCCTGAATTGTTTTTGAGATTTTTTTTCCTTCATTCATGATTTGGATCAAACGTACGGCACCCTTCACGATCTACTAGCTCTATTCTACTATCAGTATTATCACAAGTAAAATTGATCTTAAACTGTTAATTCATAGGTACTACTAGAGAGAAAAATATTTTATTATACCAGTAGTTGAAGTGTTGAACTAGTTATATATAAATAGATATAATGCATGAGATTAAAAAAAATGAACTGTCTATGTTAGTTATACTACCAGTAGAAACCATTATAAAATATAAAAAAATAAATTAGAAAATATCCAAACTTAGTTTCAAAATTTTGAAAAAATTTGTCCAAATTTCACTTGTCCTCAACGTTCTTTTGGAGACTAATAAAACTACTAAAGAGCAGTTTCCAATTTCACTTGAACCCAGCTACCAAAGTGATTCCTTCATATTTGTTTTCTGATCAACTCAACTGCTTTGATAAGCCTCTAGAAAAAAATTAAAATTAAAATGAATGCACTTATTATTGACAACAATAAATTATATGAGTCACCTTATTTTACGGTTTATTAAATATATGATTGATTTGACCAAACACAAAAAACCAGGATACATACAAACGGTTATGCATTAGTATAGTCTTTAATGGGGGAGGGAATGCATCGAACCCTTCTCGAGATAGATAAACATTAAAATAATTACTATGCATAATAAAAAAAGGAATATAGGAAATATGTAATATATATCAAAGCAAATCAACACAGATATCTTCAATAAACATACATTAGAAATACAACCTAGTATACTATACACGTACGTATACAACTTGGGATATAAAAGCATCCACATTATATAATTCATGCGGGGTGTTAGGTGTGGGGTACATGTCAAATAAAGTAACCAATGAGAATCGCTGCATTGTGTAAACCAATCATACAAGTATCATCCTAGATACCTACATAACTCTCTCCAACTTACAAGTTGCACATTGGATATGACATGTGGGCTACGCATGTTCTCTCCACTTGAATATGGCTCTATGGCTAGTGTTGGATCTATTGATGAGACTAGTTGGAGAAAATGTTGCAATATGTAGGGCGGCTCCATATTTCTCTCTCACCTCTAGTACCCCTCCAAATGCAACAATGCAAATGCTCTAATGACTATATGGAAAAAAATATGAAGACGTACATGCGCAAGATAGATGCCTATGTTTCAAAGCGTAGCTAGTTACATCGCACCATAATAAACCAATCATCCCTTGCCAATTGGACGTATGACAGGTGCCCACATAAAGTAGCATATCATGCAAAAACATTCATGTGTTGCTTGCAGAAGTGACATGGATGCCACGTGACTAAGAGCATTGCGGTGTTCAATGTGAAGGGGGTTATATAAGAGACAAAATGGGATTGGACCGACTCTATACACTATGGGACTTGTTCCAGCCGTTTTCAACCTTGAACCGAATACAACCATAGTACCTTGCTTTAAAGGGGAGAGAGAGAGAGAGAGAAGACTCATCTATCAGAGGTTGTCGCATCCATCATGAACTCGTTGTCGCCATCCATAGTGGGTCTATCCATAGGACCTTTGCTACTCCTATACGATGCAAAAATTGTCACATGATACTATTCTCACTGTAGGGCCCACCAATAGGGCCTATGGACCAAATACTGGCCATGCTCTAAGCACATCATATCACGGAAAACACTCATATC